TGGACTTATGGGTGGGCTTTATGGGCATACTCACCGTCAGGCCCTGGGGCCCAGACCTTGAGCTATGTAAGAGGCCCCAAAAAATGGAGCTGCTTCCCGTTCTCCCAGAACATTGAATTTTGTGACCACAGTTACAAACAGCCTCCAGAGATCCTGTTCTACACCAGACCAGTGGAGCCAAACTGCAGCCCATCATCATCCTCATCTGCTTGTAAGTAGGCAATCTAGTATATTATTAGTGACACTAATCTATAATATACCTCACATTAAAGGGACACTATAGCTTAATGAAGTGGTTCTGGTGTCTATAGCTGGTCCCTGCAGGCTTTTTAATGTAAACACACACTGTGTGCAGCACTGGCGTTAGTTCATATAGGTGGGGCATTGTGATGTCACATGGGGGGGCAGCAAATTTTTATTTTGTCTAGAGCGGCAAAAATCCTTGCACCGGCTCTGATCCTGGGCAGGTGCACCAGTCTACTGGTGACCCACAGGAGGGGAGTGCACTGATTGCACTGCACTCTCCTCCTGTCCAGCCCCATCTTTACCGCAGTGCAAGTGCCCTCTGCCCCTAATTTACAGTGGCTCACACTCACAGCAAGCAGTGCCTGGAGCCGTGAAGGAGCGGGTATGGCAAAGAGCTACTGATTAGCATAACATCAATATCCGTTATAAAACCAGGAAAAGGTGGGCATGGATGGTGAACTGATTTGGTGGTGCAATGGGCCACTTGACTGGTTTTGCCCTCCAGGCCTAAGGCTGCCAGCCCTCCCCTGAATGGCACAGATTCACACTGCAAAGCAAATAATCTGTCTCAAACAAAAAAAAGAAAAAAAAAGCAGTGTGGAAAAAGCAGCTTCCATAAACTGAATCTGTGGATTTAACTGGCGTACCTACACCATCAGGCTCAAATATTGAAAAATCACCTCAATGAAGACCATTTGAAAATATCACAACCACTATCAGCTCCAACACATTTAAAAAAACTTTTGTTTCTACCATGAGTTGAAAAGAATACTTGCCACACTCAGTGCAGACTGTGTTTACTTATGCAGTAAACTGCCACACACTGTGTAAATTACTGAGGGAAGAAACTTGCAGTTTCCAAACCAAAAGCAATGGCACAGAAGCTTACTGCAAAATCAAATATTCCATCTCTAAGTTGAAATAGTAAAAAAGAATAAAAAAATCAGTAAAACATTTCTAAACCAGTGAATCCGTGTAAGCGATCAGTGGCACTGCCCCCCCAAAATATTTTATTTTTGCAAACACTTATTAAAAATAGAAAAACCTTGTTGAAAACATGACGAACGATAAAGGCAGTGTTTACATGAAAATGCCTACAAGGACAGGCTATAGACGCCAGAACAACTACATTAAGCTGTAGTTGTTGTGGTGACTATAGTGTTCATTTAACACTTCATTGAGATTTTTTTTAATATATAAGGCATTTTAGATTTGTGTTATTATACACATTTATATTACTGATACATGCATATATTATTCTTTTTATTTATTTTTTTACAGTGTAAATAAGTTATTTTTTAAGCTAATATCTCTTGTTATATTTTGAGCAGATCTTAATCTTGTACTAATAGCGATAAAGATCAGCAGTAGGTGGGTATTTTGCTGTGATCCAACAATATATATTGAAGTAATTCTGTGTTCAACAGTGGCATTTGAAATGAAGTTCTGGTAGTTCAGCCACAGTACCATGACAATTTATGACGACAGGTAGCTGAGGGTTGTCAGAGCTAGACTATACAGGTAAGATTTAAATCATATTGTGAATACTTGTCACAATTATGATTTAGCATCATAGAGAGAAATAATCATGCTGCTAGTGGGTAATTTGAACACTCAAACTGCTACAATGCCCCAAAATAAGTTATGAACTCCTCAAATGTATCTATCAAAATTTTAACTGTACAAACTGAAATGGTCAAGTCTCCTATATGGCACTGGACCTTCACAACATAGTGGCAAAGATGTACATTGTGGACATTGTTGTACTCAGAATTTTTCTCTGAACACAGTTTGAGATTTTGTACTGGATTAGCACACATCAGATTTACAAACTATGCATTAAAAAAACCTTGTTGTGTAGGTATGTATAAGAAAAGAAACTACAAAAATGTATCCATTTTTAAATGACTGTTTATAAAGTGTCAACATACCCTTAGGTGAACCTGTGATGTCTACTTCATAAATATGTATTTTGTGTGGCAATTTTGTTTTCTGTGATGGCTACTAATGTTATAAGACAAACAAAGCCAATTTTAGAATCATTACACGTTAAAATTGTATTTCACTCCTTGTATTTTGTCACGTGTCACGTTTAACCAAATATAAACTGAAATCCTAGATATAAGATGTACTCTGTAAATCAGGAAATAAAATGAATTTATTTTGAATTATTTTTCTTAAGCTGCACTAATCGTGTACAAATTATTATTACAAAAACTGTAAAAGAAGATTTTTTGCATTTTTTTAATAAATCAGAATTTATATATGTATATGTCACATGAAATTATAGCCTTTTTAATTTAAAGAGATGTAAAGAAATTGTAAAGAAATGAACACAGTGTGTGAAGGTAGCACAGACATTCAACAAAGTGATTTGGTGGTATACATTGTGCCTACTAATAGCAAGAAAGGGGTTTAGGGAGGAGAAAAACGTTGTAATAATAATAATAACAACAATAATAATAATCAAATTATATACAAAAATATCAGAAAATTAAAGAACAATAAAAGAGCAGCACTCAATGTCAGTTCTAGATAAATGTGATTGGCAAATGTGCCATCTTAGATGAAAAAGAGGCATTTGGGTTGTTTCTGTGATTTATGTAGGACGACGTTATATTCTCCTAATACATTCTTCAGTATAATGTATCTTTTATATTACATGCCTATTTAAACCTTGAATATTAGGAGTTGACATAGGGCTTGGCCTAAGGTTCCTTTAATCTAAGTGGATCATTAGGGTCATGTACAAGATATAAAGAATATCTGGAGTTAGGTCTTATTACTATAGCAGAAACCCTACAGCAGATCATGATTCACAATATTATTATTATATTATTATTAATATTTTTATTTTCACTACTATTCAGTTTAAGTAGAAATATTGTATTTGTATAATCAAAAGTACTTATTAATGCTAACTATGAAAGGGCATAATAACAACATTCAATCTGACACTGGATAAACCCAAGTATATGAAATCATCCCTGCTCCCCCCCCCCCAAAAAAAATAAAAAATAATCCAAGGTTTGTGCCCTGCAAAAAATGATTGCATAAGTAGCTGGCAGGTCTAAGGCAAAAAAATGTAGCTTTAAAACCTCTTTAAATAATGTAAAAATAGTCAAGATTTCCAAGTATTGTGCTCACAATGTTCCTGATTTAAAAAAATAAATAAATTACCTTTTTTTTAAAGACTTATAACTGTGTACTTTAGCATTAACACAAGCTTCAAAACTAGAGGAAAAATGTAGAAACAGTGTTTGGCTCATAAACAGTACTTAGTGACAGATGGTGTTGTGTCTTGAATGCAAAACATACTATATTCGTTAAACATTTCATGCACTATGTTTGGTAGGTAGCATTTTGTTTTGACTTGTTAAATACACATGATATGGAAATCAGGAATGGAAATATGAAAATGTGTCAAAAGGTTTCTTTTGCAAGTTTAAATTAAAAGCACAGGATGAATTCCCATATAAATCATAGATATACTGTATACATATATTTCTATATCTATAATATATGTGTAGTGTATATAATAAAATGTTTGCTTATTAGCATTGTTTTTTTTTGCAAGAATTTATTTTAAAAGTTTGTAAAATCCGTGAATAGTGCTAGCATAATCATTATGATTAATATTAGCAACATAGATACAGGCGCTAGGCACCTTGTTTGGAGATTGACAGAGGCTGTTTGTGGGTAGGTTGTCCATATAGTACATGTATTGTATAGTTAGGAAACATGCATTAGTTAGCACACCCACATTTGTCTTTTTCTCTCTCTCTTCTTCTTTCTTTCACTCTCTCATTAAAGATAAATAGATGATAGATATATAGATAGATAGATATTCCTCATTCAAATCCTATTTCCCCACTATTCTCCTTACACTCCCCCGTTGCCCTTTTTTCCCTTGCTCAGTTCTATTCTTCTATTCCAAAACTTCACCAATATTTACTATTAAAATACAAAATGGGTGAGAGCAATACGAACATACGAACAAGTAATAAACAAGTATATATAATATTACCACAACTTAAGTGGAAGAGTTCAGCATAGAAAATATAAAAGCATTACATAGTGCATTACTGATGTGAAAGGCATATATGTGTGCATAAATCAACTACACTCACATGATGCTGCACCACCAAAATGCAGGCTCAGTCTATTAGTTGATTTTCCTGATCTTAATATTGAGTGGTGGGCGTTCCGGATGACGTAGGATGCCTGAGTGAGAGAACCAGAGTTGGGAGTGAAATAGACTCGAGGCATGGACCACGCTATCTCGAAGCTATCTCAGGTGAGCAAGTGAGCATACGAACACAGACAAAAAAGCATGCCACAGGGGCGGACTGAGAGCCTTTGGGGCCCCCGGGCAAAATTAGATCCCAGGCCCTTTGAAGGCCAAATATATGTGCATTAAATAAATGTTAAATATAACTCATAATACAGCATTCCTTTGGATGTGTATATTGTGAAGACCTGTGTATCAATGCATGTTTGTATTTGAGTCTGTGTGAATGCACTTGTGCATGTCAGGATGACTACATGTGCTTTTTTGTATATAGTGTCTGTGTGAATGCATATGTGACAGGTGACAGTGAGTGAGGGAGAAGGTGACAGGTGGAAGAGTGTGGGAGGTTGTGACAGGTGGCAGAGTGAGGGGGTACCTGGTGGCAGAGTGAGGGAGGGAGGGGTTGAGTGCTGGCAGAGTGAGGGGGAGACACAGTGAGTGGGGGTGACTAGTGACATAGGGAGGGAGAGGGGGTGACTAGTGACAGAGTTAGGGAATGGGTGACTAGTGGCAGAGTGAGGGAGGGAAAAGATGACTAGTGGCAGAGTGAGGGAGGATTGACTAGTGACAGAGGGAGGGAGTGACTAGTGACAGAGGGAGGGAGGGGGTGACTGTCACTAGTCACTCCCTCCCTAACTCTGTCACTGTGTCACCCGCTCCCTCACTCTGTCACTAGTCACCCCCTCTGTCCCTAGTCACCCCCTTCCACACTCTGTCACTAGTCACCCCATCCCTCTCTCTGTCACTAGTCACTCCCTCCCTAACTCTGTCACTGTGAAGGAAGGAAGGGGTGACTGGTGATAGAGTGAGGGGATGACTGGTGACAGAGTGAGGGAATGACTGGTGACAGAGTGAGAGAGGGGGTGACTAGTGACCGAGTGAGGGAGGGAGTGGGTGACTAGTGACAGAGTGAGGAAGGGGGTGACACAGTGATAGTCACCCCATTCCTCCCTCTGTCACTAATCACCACCTCCCTCACTCTCACTAGTCACCCCTTCCCTCCCTCACTCTGTCACTAGTCACACCCTCCCTCTCTCTGTCACTAGAGTGAGGGGGTGACTAGTGACAGAGTGAGGGGGTGACAGGTGATAGAGTGAGGGAAGGGGTGACTAGTGCCAGAGTGAGGGAAGGGAGGGGTGACTAGTGACAGAGTAAGGAGATGACTGGTGACAGAGTGAGGGAGGGGGTGACACAGTGACGGAGGGAGGTGGTGACTAGTGACAGAGTGAGGGAGGTGGTGACGGTCACTAGTCACCACCTCCCTCACTCTGTCACCCCTCCCTCTGTCACTAGTCACCCCTTCCCTGCCTAACTGTCACTAGTCACACCCTCCCTCACTCTGTCACTAGAGTGATGGGGTGACTAGTGGCAGAGTGAGGGAGGTGGTGACTAGTGACCTCCCTCTGTCACTACTCCCTCCCTCCTTCTATCACTAGTCACCCCCTCCATCCCTCACTCTGTGACCAGTCATCCCCTCCCTCTGTCACTAGTCACCCCCTCACTCTAGTGACAGAGTGAGGGAGGGTGTAACTAGTGACAGAGAGAGGGAGGGTGTGACTAGTGACAGAGGGAGTGGGTCACTAGTGACAGTAAGGAAGGGGATGACTAGTGACAGAGTGAGTGACTAGTGACAGAGTGAGGGAGGGAGTGGGTGACTAGTGACAGAGTGAGGAAGGGGGTGACACAATGACAGAGTGATGGAGGGGGTGACTAGTGACAGAGTGAAGGAGGTGGTAACTGTCACTAGTCACCCCATCCCTCCTTCTGTCACTAGTCACCACCTCCCTCTCTCTGTCACTAGTCACAACCTCCCTCTCTCTGTCACTAGTCACCCCCTCCCTCTCTCTGTCACTAGTCACACCCTCCCTCACTCTGTCACTAGAGTGAGGGGGTGACAGGTGACAGAGTGAGGGAAGGGGTGACTAGTGGTAGAGTGAGGGGATGACTGGTGACAGAGTGAGGGAGGTGGTGACTAGTGACAGAGTGAGGGAGGTGGTGACTGTCACTAGTCACCACCTCCATCACTCTCTCCCTAGTCACCCCTCCCTCTGTCACTAGTAACCCCCTCCCTCACTCTGTCACTAGAGTGAGGGAAGGAAGGGGTGACTAGTGACAGAGTGAGGGAGGGGGTGACTGTCACTAGTCACACCCTCCCTCACTCTGTCACTGGTCACACCCTCCCTCTCTCTGTCACTAGTCACACCCTCCCTCACTCTGTCACTTGAGTGAGGGGGTGACTAGTGACAGAGTGAGGGAAGGGGTGACTTGTGGCAGAGTGAGGGAAGGAAGGCGTGACTAGTAACAGAGTGAGGGAGGTGGTGACTGTCACTAGTCACCAGCTCCCTCACTCTGTCACTAGTCACCACCTCCCTCTGTCACTACTCCCTCCCTCCTTCTGTCACTAGTCACCCCCTCCGTCCCTTACTCTGTCACCAGTCATCCCCTCCCTCTGTCACTAGTCACCCCCTCACTCTAGTGACAGAGTGAGGGAGGGTGTGACTAGTGACAGAGAG